CAAGCACATACAACCGTTTTTGTTGTCATATCGAAGTTCTGTTCACGAAAGTACAGCAGTGACACCAGCTTTCGCAAACTTTGGAAGAGAATTACGGCTGCCTGCAGACCTGATCACCGGGATACCACCCGATGCTCCACGCAGTATAACCGATTATGCAAATGACTTGCGGAAAAAAATGAATGACGTTTATGAGCACGTCAGACAATCGGGCCAGCAAATGTCTGAAAAGATGAAAACCCGGTATGACCGCAAAATGAACAACAAAGGCTTCGACGAAGGTTCACTTGTGTGGTTGCACAATCCAGTCCGCAGCAAAGGGAAATCTCCTAAGCTTCAAGCTAAATGGGACGGCCCGTACCGGATTGTAACCAGGATCAACGATGTGACCTACCGGATACAGAAAGGCGCAAGAGGGACTCCTAAGATCGTCCATGTGGATCGCTTGGCGCGTTATTATGGGACCGATAATGCTCGGGACGAGCATGTCTTAGGAGGGGGCAGTGTTGCATGAATAAGTCAACTAGCGCCATCTAGTGTCAGGAACGAGAGCGAGGGGAGCATTGATAAAATGACATCACAAATCGCTCAACTGACAGCGCCTAGTCGAAACTCGAACGCTCGGTACCTTCCGCGTGTTTACTTGAACATTCTGGATATTTCTTTGCTAATTCGAATATATAGGCGCTGCAAGATGCGATCGAGGCAGTGTTGATTTGGGCGAAACAAGCGAAGCTTCGGAGTGGAATTAAGTGAATTAGTGTGTTTAAATTATTAGTGTTTTAACTTTAATTGTGTAAAGTAAATTAAAGTGTTAATTTAGGTAATTTTATCGGCAATTTTTATTGTCACGAACCTCAAGCTCGTAACAATATTTTTATTCTTTTAGTAATAATTCTTTTTATAAGGTAACATTGGTTTTATAAAGTTGATTATAAATTCAGATTCTAACGTTCGGAATTTTGTTTTCGAAAATACTAAAACTGCATTAATTTCTCTTATAGACAGCAGATTGCAATATATGCAGTTATAGTTAATAACTTAGATTTGTGGCAAACTTTGTTTTCATGGAGTATAGAGGTATTGCTTTGATGAGCATAAAATTGTGTCAAAGTAATTTTAGCAATATGTATGTAAATTATGTATGTTTAGTAAATTTTATGAAGTACTTCTACCGCAGAACCAAATACATCTAATTCTAGCTTATCTAGTCACGAGTCACCAAATTAAGTCATAAATGCACGCAGATATTGTCTCTAGGTTTTTCGCTTTATTATTTTATTTTTTGTATCACATAAGTCATATTATATGTCTACATTCCCTTTTGCATATTATGTGCTTAAACAATGTCGTGGTATTTCTTGCTATAGCTAATTTCATTTATTTGTAACACATCCATACTCTGTAATGTGTTTTATATGCATACAGAACTAAAATTACTGGTTACCGCCTGTAGTCAAACTTCGAGCAATTCTGTAGGAACATCGCTAAGAATTTATTTGCAAAACTTTTTTTAATATTTTCTCGTGCCGGAAAGGCGAAGGGATCTTAGCGCATACAGCTATGAACGTGATCAAAATTATTTTTCTTTTCTTTTGGTTAAAGCTTTTTATATGGAATAATCATGTGCATTTCTCTCCTTCATAAATACCAAAAAAGGTACTTCAATTTACGATGTCCACGTGTTGATTACGCGTAATTCTTTAACCAATAAGAAATAATAGGATAATATTTTTTTTGTTTTGACGTAGTTTTATTATTAAAATTTTATTTATGAAGATCAAAGAGCTTAAAATTGAATATCAATAATCACACTGGGTGTACATCATTGAGAGACATATCGCAACCCATTAGGCATTTTAAAGCAATATTCATTAATTATAATAATTATTATTATTTGTAACGTAATTCTCAATCGTTGTTAAAATTTATATTACCTATATTAATTCAAACAGTTTTTTTTTAAATATTACACACTAGGATTTTCACCTGTATCGTGGAGGCAGTTTTTACAAACATAATTTGCACAAGGACAAACATCCAGACCTGAAACAATTATTTGTAGGCCATACAAATTCTTGCTCCGTGCGGTAATAGAATCCGCGGCCCCCAGCACAATAACTCATTGCTAAGTCACTGCGACACGGATACGTCACACAATTATGGGCTCTAACTTGTAATAACAGATACTACTTATAATTAGATATTACTTACTGATACTGAATTTTATTTTTATTAGTTGATTACTGTAGATACAGATCTGTAGATTGTTCACCATGAATGTGAAACGAGTGGGGAGGTGAAATATGGAAAATGATGTTTGTTAAAAGTTAATTGAGAGTGAAAAGGGCGAATTACCTGTAGGTATGTGAAAAAAGCAAAAGAGGTTTGTCAGGATCGTGCAAAATGGAAGTCCATTGTCTGTCCCTACCCCTCTGAGTGACAAGCGTAAAAGTTTATATGTTTAAATTGTTATATATAAAGCTTATAGGTAAAGTACTAAGTATTTTCAGTTTGTAATGCTTGTTGGAGAACTTCAAACATGTTAATTAAATACTCGCTCTGATACGAACATACCTTGGTTTCCACACAATCCAAACAGATCACGTGGTAAAACGCCGCTCAGACAAGTAAGGTAAATTCATCATCACTATCACACAATCTATCACAATTTAACTGCTGAATTAACCTCCCTCAAGAAATGCGGCATTCCACACGATTATAAGCCACCTGCATCCACCGACTTCTTTCGTCTTCTAAGGTCGTCACTCCATCGAGTGAGCAGTCAGCCCTGTAGGAGTATTGCCGGTAGGAGGTTGCCACACGAGAACCTTTATGGGGAACCCCGTGGGTTGTCGGTTTTTCGAGCTATATGACCGGCTCATTGCCACTTTTGTGTGCGAGATTTTTACGTGTTAGATAGCGATAAAGTTAACTACGATTTGTATGGAATACTAGTGACAATAATTTGAAACACAATTCCTGAGTGCGAGTTTACCACGTGGTCGATATCGATCATCGAACATTGACTCACATTCGATAGTGGGAACGTTAACGCTCGTGACTGGTTGTTTGAAGTATTTTGCGAGTGCGAGCGACAATTTTGATCGTTCGAGACGTAACTTATGTAAACTTTACGACGTCGCTATCGAAAAAGTTTTCACTTGGATTTTTACAGTGAGATGGAAGAGTGAGAATAATTGTTGAAGAGTTAAATTTATTTCGTTTTATTTTAACGATGTATAATTATGGCAGGACGTTTCTTTTCGCTTGAAGGATGTTTGCAGCCGCTAAGTCATGAATAAGTAATAATTATAGATGACTACTATTCTTTGATTATATAGACAACCAGTGTTGAAGCAAGAACTTGTGCATATTTTCGTCCGTTGTTACATCCCGACGACAGGCAATTTAAGGATCAATCAAATCCTTCGGTCAATCCTTCTCAGGATTTACCGCTGCCTCCTAATACTTCTATTTCTTTTTATTTATTTATTTCGAATGGAATGCCGGCGGCATTGACGGGATTACGCCCCAATATCTCAAAGATCTTGTAAGCATGTCCGCCGGTGACGCCGGTGTTGTACTTCTTAATGACATTACAAAATTATGTAATTTTATGTTTTCTGGTAATGTAATCTCAATTTCACTCCCTATTTAAGGATAGATATAGCATTTTCCACTAAAGTGTTCAAGTTTTGTGTAAATAGCGTTTGATAAATCTAAGGTCTACTATCTCTATTCAATAATTAAATCTATTCTTTCAAAAATTTTTATACAGACCATTTGATCGCTTGCATTTGACGATGCTTTGTCGAGGCCTTCATGCCGAAAATCCAATAAATTCTAGTCCGCGTAACCTAGTTACAAAACACACGTATTAAACTTCAATTTACATCTAAATAGCTTAAATTCCATTTACCTACTGCTCCAAAAATTTCACCATAAAAGCATATTAAAGCGAACACATCTTTATGTTTTTTTGCTTTTAATTTAAACGTTATATTATTAACAATCACGGACAAGTTACTCGTCCATGTTAACAATTAAATATCTAATTCATAATCTTATTAAACTAACACAAATTGTCGAGTGTCGAAACCTTGATCAAATTACGAAACATAAATAAATAGGTAATAAAGATATAATAACCACAAATTTGATAGACAGATGCTAATATTAAGACCACTAAATAAAAATGTCATTCTGAATTTGGTTAGTTTATCTCACAGAACGAACATGTTACCAACATAAGATAAGGAATATACGCCATTCACAGTGAGCAAACGCGAATCGAAAGGTTAGCTTCGATTGTAGAGTGTAGCTCACACTCGTTCGTCTATACCGACGACGTTAACTCGGTTAACGCGATGGTGAAGTCATTCGATTAATTTTGTGGAACTCGCGCTAGGCACACTGATCAGTTAGACGATGTCGGTTACTCTGGTTCTACTGCGAACATCCTCATCACGAAGTCTATCACGCAGAGAAACTCTGAACATAACCCTCTTCATAGCTCATTGGGCTTCGTTGACCTTCCCCACCATGGGGAGACCTTTGTTCAGCAGTAGACTTGATAGACAATAATAAATAAAGGACCAGAAATAAAGAACACCAATAAAAATCAAACATTTATTGTGCTTAAAACATTACACACTATGTAGAACAAATTAAGTGTTCTAATTTGTAATCAAGTTATGGAAATTACCACAATGAGAATAATAACTTAAAATTGTTATACAATTAGCATATCATTTAAAAAAATCATAAATTATTATTAGTATCAACGAAATAATCTATTAAACTTAACATAAATAAGAATATCTTTGAATATATAATACATTGATATACGAAATAAAAAGTAGAACGTTGAAGGGACCATTCTTGTGCAATATTTTACATCAGTCCCTGTATACAACAATGAACACACTCCTAGAAAACAAAATCTGTTAACCCTCTAACACGCTAAATCTTAAAATTTTCACAAAATTCCACCCTCTTTACTTCTGTAACATATCTTTTGTTTTATCTTTATTAACAAAGTCTAACACCGCTTGCACGTCTTCACGCAGCAAGGTCACCATAGCTCTTTTCTGCCTACAATCGTCTTGGATAAGCCTGCGAGCGCGTTCTTTCAGATCTTCCATAAACTGCTCGTCCATTTCTTGAGATCTGGTTGTAAAAAGAAACATAAATAAAAACGAATGACTCGAGAAATTTCCAACACCCATTAGCGTTGCTTAAAGAGTGGATAAAATGCACAGTATGCGAGCAAAAAATTATTTTTCTTTACTCCGGATCACTAGGAAAAAACAATACCTTAAAATTACCATTAACATTTTTTTTGTCAGACTTTTAGACTTGGATCCACAACTTCGTAAAAAAAACGACTACTGGTTGCATTCTGCAAGTTGGCACTGTTTCACTCCCATGTATCGGAATGCACATAAAGCTTACTCACGCAATTGCAAGGTTATATGGCCAACAAATAATTGTTCAGAGTCTGGTTGTTTATCTATGCTCATGCAATTTATGTATGTACAACGACTCGATAGAGAAGACAATCCCAGGGGGTAACCTTTCAAACGTTAACTTAAAGCTACAGCAGCTTTATGGTTGAGGCTGTATGCAGTTATTTGTAAATATTTATTTTAAAGCAACTGTCTTTTGAAATATACATCCAATTACAACGAAAAAAAAACTATAAAAGGGATTTCTGCTCTTGTGTTATAGAATTTTCGGTAAGGTTCATACTGAAATAGTTTCGGATTTCACTTGTAAAAGGAAGTGCTAAGACACTTAATATTCAATTAAACTAATATTAAGGCTTATTATTTAAACCAATATGGTAACATTAAAACCAATCCCACCAGCCACGAGAATGAAAAGATAGATGCATGCAAATTATTACACTCTTTTGCTGCTAGCATTTTTTTTATACTATAAGGGTGACAAACGAGCACACAGTCCACCTGATGGTAAGTGGATGCTGTGGCTCTTAGACACATACATTTATACTCGATTAAGAACTAAAATCTGCATTTGCGCGTTGTCACTCCTGAGGACTGAGACGGAATGACTCGTTTCTAGTTAAAAATGATATCCGGTTCTCTACACTCAACATACGACAGCAGCATTAAGCTGCTATTTGAAGCTGGTTTTCTGTGAGAGCGCGGTCCATCGCGGTCGAGCCGACACATTCGTGCTACAACCACGATGTAGCTGCAGCGTGGCCATCTACCATGTAGCGGTAGCGTCTACCATGTCAACAAAATTCTTTGAAGTCGGCTTTTCCTTTTTATCAAATGTATAATAGCACAAGTTCGAATATCGTATAAGGGTCAGTTCACACAGAGATGTGACGTTCCGTACCACGCCGCGAGACGTCTTGCTGGGTAACGGGATACCGCGAGAAATTTTGTATTTTTTTTACATTTGGTCATATGTATACCCATATACTCCTATGTGATGTTTTCTTTTTAATTTTATTCCTCTTCTACCTTCTCTGCAAGAGTACGGACGAAGCGAAGGGCATTTTCGAATTATCTCAATAAAATGTGTATCTTTTTGTGTAGAGAATAAAGTTGTATTTTGAATCACTATCTTAAAAAGTGACATGTCATGTCTCGGTGTGAATTGACCCTAAATAGTTAAATTATGTGAATGAAGTTTTATCCCCTATTTTCCCCCACACTTACGGGTGGAGGTTCTTCTCCAATTTTATGTGAAGCCACCCCTATGGTAATGACCCATTGAATGAGAAAAGCGTCATTCAAATTGGGCAACAGTTGACGAAGAAATCAAGTAACATAGATAAAAAGAGCAAACACTCGAATTGTATCATTCCCCTTTTTTTGAAATCGCTTAAAAAATTAACTGCATGCTCGAAAAACTGAGTGTTCGAATCCGCACTTCGACTACTTTGTAAACAATTCCTAGCACAAGCACTTTCAGTTCACTTGAGAGCAGTTAACTAGTATTGTTAAAAGCGTTACTAGTATCCTTTAAAAAAAACGTAAAACCGTGCACAAACAGAGTCTTATTGAAAATAGTGACGTACATTCTGTAAATACCAGGAACAAGCACAAGTTAGTTATACCAGTTACTCAACTCCAATGAGTCAGCAATTCCCTCCTAGGGCAAGTTTACACTTTAACAACAAAGTCCCAGAAAATATGCAGACTTTATCTATCAAAAGGTTCAAACTATTTAAAAAAAGTAAAGTAAAGTTACAGCCTATATACGTCCCACTGCTGGGCTCAGGCCTCCCCTCATTTCTGAGAGGGTTTTAGGTCAAGGAAGTGTCCGCCGCGCTGCCCAAATGCGTGTTGACGAACTTCACATGTCCTCGAAATATTTTTTTTTCTTATTCCTCAGACATGCAGGTTTCCTCACGATGTTTTCCTTCACCGCCGAGCACGTGGTAAATCAGCACTTAAAATTGCAATTAACAGTTTCATTGGTGCCGGCGGGGATCGAACCCGGGTTACTCGCGTTCTGTTATATTTACAGCGAGCGTTAACCACTGAGCTACCACGGCTCTCAAACTATTTATTAAGCAAATATTGTTCAGTAATGGTATCAGTAATGGTGGTTAGGTATTGTATTACTAAAGAGTACATGATTGATTATAACCCCTGGGAATTAAGTGATCGCCACCGTGCTGCTTCTAAATGTTTTCATAACAATTGTACAAATAAATTATATAATTTTATACATTGTAGAGCCATGCTGCAGTTATATTAGTAGTATAGTTGTAGCACGAATGGGTCGGCTCGACCGCGAGGGACCACGCTTTCACAGAATACCAGCTCCAAATAGCAGCTTAATGCTGCTGTCGTATGGTGAGTGTAGAGAACCGGATATCATTTTTAACTGGAAACGAGTGGAAACGAAGCATTCCGTCTCAGTCCTCAGGAGTGACAACGCGCAAATGCAGATTTTAGTTCTTAATCGAGTATAAACGTATGTGTCTAAGAGCCACAGCATCCACTTACCATCAGGTGGACTGTGAGCTTGTCACTCTATCCTATAAAAAACATTATATTGTTTTAGTGTGAAGTTATGCCTAAAAAAGTTCTGCTGGGTTTCTTGCTGCTTCTTCCCAGGATAGAAGTGTTTTCTGAACTAGTAGTAAATGTAAAAAATTACTTTCTATAAGGATTACATATGATCTATATTGAATAAAAATGATTATATTTTCTATTCATGCGGTTATTTAGAATACAAGTATGACAGTCAAATAATTCACCTCCTATCCATTTCAGAGAACTTGACATCGATCAGCTTAACTATGTCTCTGAGCAAACCCGCAGCGACTTGCTTGCATTGAGTACGGCGTTGGTCTTTCAGCTGGTTCAGCTGTTTTTGCGATTCCACGAACAAGTTTATGAACCTAAAATAATAAATGTTTTAATTATTGACATAGTTAGAGATATAAAATGGGGTACGGTTGTTTGTAATTGTAAAATTAATGTATGTAAACTGCCCCAACGATACAGGAGAGAATGCTAGAGTGGAGGTAACGTTTTAAAAAAAAATAGAAAACACCAAATTAAACAAAAGACTTAAAAAAATAAACTCCAAAATTTGTGTTAAAAATTACGAAGGACTCAACGAATTAAACGGCAGTACAATGGGCGGTCTTATCGCTTATGAAGACGTCTGGGCTGCAAGAAATTTGAAATGTATTTTTAACGGTCTATTGCTGTCGCGCTGTACCCGAAAGAACAAGCTAGGCAACCGGGAGAAAAAATGCAACTCGGATTGATTTTACCTGTGAAAAATGGTGAAATCATCATAATATTATATTTTCAATTTTTTTTCCAAAATCTTCATCCAAATTTTTTTTAAAGAATAACGGCCATTTATTATGTTCGTTGTTTGCTGGATGTTTAATGACAGACTTATAACTGGACAGTTTTATTAATTTTAGTAGGTTTCTAGTTTTAAATATTTAATTAATTTACGAAAAAAAAAACATAAGAACACAGCAGTGTGTCAAAGTACACAGTAGTATCATTATCCTGAGAAAACAGGAATGCGTTTGTATAGATGAAAAGGATTTCATCGCGTTTCATCATCATCATTAGCATCATTATCATCATCATAATCACTACAGCTCATCGCAAGTCCAATGCTGCACATAGGCCTCCACCAAATATTGTCACAAAACCTCAACTTCCTGCATGTTTTACCAGGTCGTCACTCCATTTAGTGGGAGATCGCCCTTCAATTACCCATACAAGGTTGCCACTGAAAAACCTATCTTCCTCATCGGTTGTCGGTTCTTCGAGCTATATAGCCGACCCCTTGCCACTTCAGCTTACTGATCCGTTGGGCTATGTCGGTTACTCTGATTCTACTGCGGTTATGTTTATTACGATCATGCAGAGAAACTGAGAATAGCCCACTCTATATATAAGCAGCTCAATGCTCTTAAAGCAGCATCTCCTGGATTGGGATGGACATGCCGGAATGTGTGCAGGAGTCATCGAAGCGTAAATCTTTTAATATTTGTACCAGAGGACGAAGATGAAGAGGATGCTGAAAATCTAGCTCAACTCGACACTGCGAAACTACTAAAGGACATCTCAAGGGAAGTAGAAAAAACCATGAGAAATGAAATGAGGCAAGTAAACGACTCCCTACAGTTTCATAGTGCCAAACTTGATGAAGTAATGGGATGTATCGAAACATTCAAACAAACAATCAAAAATTTAGAAAAAAGAAACATTGAACTAAGTAACAAAAATAACAACTTGGAAACCAGGACACATGGGCTTATCACAACAAAAGTCTTAGAACAACAAATTCAAGCGCTGGAACAAGAAAAACTCTCAAAGAAGATAGAAGTTGCAAATGTACCCAGGCATAAAAATGAGAATGTGGAAAACCTAGTCGAAAATTTGGCTATGAAGTTAAACTTACCCAAAACCGGTATCAAGAAATCACTTAGGCTGCGAGGGAGAGGAGAGCAAGATGGTAGCTTACTAGTGGAACTTAAAGAGGAGAGATCAGGAAAAGTAGCTGGCAGCAGCAAGATCAACAGCAGCGACCGTTGCAGATATCCATCCACGAGAACAAAACAATAATGCCATCGTGTATATCAGGGAAACTATGACTCGACTAAATAAACAAATACTATGGCTAGCGAAACAGGAATTAAAAATACGTGTGGCACTCGGTGACTGCCGCGGTAAAGCTATTGCATACCATTTTTTATCAACTTATGCAATTATAATTATTTATTTATTTTATTTATGCAGTTGAGTCTTTGATATTAAATCAAGTTACACTTTTTGAGCGTGGTGACCGATAAGAAAACAATTTTTCTTTCTCTTATTGAATAAATGAGAAGTTAATATTGTTTAAAATATTTTTAATATCTTACAATACATGTAGGTTATTCAGGATATTTTATCATTGAGTGAGCAGCTAGTGTATACGCATACGTCTAGTCGCACGCACACAAACACCGTGCCGAAGTCTGCCGAGTGCCGAAGTCTGCCGAACTGAAACGACGTTAGACGATGCACGGCTTTCAACGCCACACCTCCGTGCCCGTAGGAGTGGGGAGCGTGAGGTTTTTTCGTTACGGAATTTCTGGATTCGGTCCCCGCGCTCAAGGCCCGCGATAGAAGCTATGCAATAGCTCATGCAATAGCGCCACCGTAAAAACGAAGCTTAACTACAAGTACGTCTGGTTTAAAAAAAGGGTCCGTAAAAGCACGTAAGGATGATATAAGTAAAATACACTATCTAAGAACTCTAAACGATGTGCACATATTAGCCAAACATAATTAGTAGTTTAATAATAAGGTATATATTATTTTTATTATTGATTTTAGAAGTACTTTTATATATATTTTTTTTTTGAATGGAAATATTAAGTGATGAAATATTTGAATGTTTAGATTGTACAAATATCAAGAATTTTCTTAAATTTCTGCCCAAAAATCATGGTATTACCTTGTTACGCATGCATATCAACATACGGTCTATGATAAAAAACTTTGTCTGTTTAGAGCAAACTATTATAACTTCCAACCAGAGTATAGATGTCATTGTGGTAACTGACGCTAATATTACGGAGTCTATTAGTTGTCTTTTTCAAATTACAGGATACCAAATGTTAACTAGTCTGCGAAAAGCCCGAAGGGGTGGTGGTATTGTAATTTATGTAAATAATAAACATAATTTTAACACTAAAAACACCAAAACAGAACACTTTGAGAGTATTATATGCACTATCATTTCCGACTCGGGCTATTCTGCGGACCTATGTGCCGTGTACCGTCCTCCTAAAAACAGTAAACACTTATTTCTTATTGAGCTTGAAAACACTTTACAAAAATACTGTTGTAATAAAGAGTTGTATGTAATAGGCGACATAAATATTGACCTGAATTCCGATAGTCCTGTAAAACATAAATATATTAACTTAATGTACAGCTTGGGTCTTGTACATGGGATTACCGCTAACACACGAATAGAAATATCGGGTGGTAAGTTAAGTAAATCTTGTATAGATCATATTAACGCGAGAAGACCTTTTCACAGCTGCTATCGGTACGACACTGGCGGACCACCGCGCGATAGTGTTTGCCTGTGTTGGGTCGCGTATACAGGGCCGTTTCTAAAGTCAAGACTTGTATTAATAACAATGCCTTAATAAAATCATTAAGTGAAATCGAGTGGCAAAAAACGAATACCATGACCTGTCCGATACAAATTTATAATTTTATAAATGACAACTTTAAACAATTGTTACAAAACCAGCGAATATAAATCAAAAATTAAAATAAAAGCTAAGCGAATAAATAATGAATGGTTGAATAAAAAACTTTAAAAGCATGTGAGTACAGAGATAAATTATTTAATAAATGGACTAAGGACAGCCAAATTAAGATTTTAAAACAAACCTACAACAAAGCAAGAAACTATGCAAACTCATTAATTCAAAAAAGCAAAAATGAATGGCTAAAATTAGAAATAAATGATAATAAAAATAATCCACGATATCTTTGGCAAATATTAAATAGATTGACCGGCAGAATAAAACAGTCGATTGATAATTTATTACTGAAAGCCTTCAGCAATGGCAGGAATACAGGTAAAAACATCGCATGCATATTTGCTATGACTTTTGATAAAAATTTGCAACAAATTATACCAAAATGTATAACACCTCTACTGGATAAGTCAATCTATCGTGAAAACGCCAATGTATCTATGAGGTATATACCTGCAGACACGACTGCAGTGGAAAATATCATTAAGTCTCTAAACCATAATAAAGCTCCTGGTATTGATGGTATACGAGCCATAGATATTAAAAAAATATGCTCAGTTCAAAGTAGCTATTACAAATCTTATAAACGCAAGTATTAGGAACGGCAAGTATCCCCAAGTACTAAAAACGGGTACCTATACATAAAAAGGGTAATAAGTCTGACTACAATAACTATAGGCCGATCACTATATTACCTACCATTAACAAAATAGCTGAGAAATATGTTGGTAGACAGATTTATAACTTCTATGATGAAAATAATATACTGACTAATAAACAGTTTGGCTTTTTAACCTCATAAAAATACCACTCACCTTTTAACGGCGTTCACAAACAGCATCTACAAGCATCTAGATGAGAAAAAACACATATTGGTAGTGTTTATAGACTACAGTAAGGCTTTCGACACACTTCGTCATGAGCAACTATTAGATAGTCTGAACGATAATGGTATCAGAGGACCACTGCTGTCGTGGTGTAAAGATTACCTCACCGATAGAAAACATGTGGTTAAAGTGGGTGATTCAATGAGCAACATAGTAAATGTATCTGTAGGCACTGCACAAGGATCCGTAATGGGACCTTTACACTACATTACCTATGTAAATAGTCTGGCAAATATTATCAGGCGATGTGAAATTTACCAGTATGCTGATGATACTTGGTTGTGGCTGGGAGCAATATAAACGACACTTTCAACCTCCTATAAGACGATTTTAATATACTTATGAAGAGGTCACATGATAAAGGATTAGTCTTAAATGCTGCGAAGACTAAGTTAGCTCTAGTCAAAATAGGAGTAAGGTTATACCTAGGCTCATTGCGCATGACCACCAATGCCTTCACAGACGACAGGTCCAAACGAAATGTAAGTGCGAATCCATAGACCTGGTAGAATCACAGACTTACTTAGGACTCGTGATAGATAGTCGCCTTAATTGGAAAGAGCATATTGAGCATGTATGTGATAAACTTCGTGGTATGCTTGCAAAATTTTCTATAATTAAATATAAAATTCCATATAAAATACTTATACAGCTATATAAATCACTGGTAGAGTCAAAAGTAGCATACGGTTTGTCTAGCTATGGTAGAACGTACACATCACATTTAGAACGTATTTATCTACTACAATTACGAATTTTAAAAACTATAGTCCCGGATAGTATTAAAATCCAGTATAAAGAATCAGATTACCACAACCTTTTTAGTCATTGCAAAATTATACCTATACACGAAAAGGTAAAGTTTACCCTTCTTATAGAAGAATTTTTCCATTAACAGTTAAAAATTGCACATACATGTGAATACTCTAAAACTCGCAACTCAGGAAAACCTAAACTAGCCTTAACTAAATACAACAATTTATATTGTAATCGTACCTTAGAATATATGATTCCTAACCTAATTAACCAGCTACCAGTATCAGTAAAATCAGAACTAAATCAAAAAAATATTAAATTAAAATTAAAAAATTACTTTACGGAAAGCATTACTAATAATTTAAAGTATACATAATATGTTTTTAATAATAAATACTACGATAACGCCCTAAAACAAGCGCCCTGTATAAAATATAGGATCCATGCGCGGTGCATTGTGCAATAGAAGATTACGCAATTAACTTAATAAATACTAAGTGTATTTCTTTTTTCTTACTACACCCTCATATTTGTTATTGTCGGTGATACCGGTACACGGTAAAGTTTCTATAAACTTATGATTGTACTGTAACGTAATGTGTTATTAATGAATGTAATAATATATTTTAAATAAATATAGCTCTCTGAGCAATGCTTCCATGAACTGCGGTATAGTGACAGTGTTCTCACATCACAGTGTATCAACCTATATCATCATTACATCCCTTCACAAGTCCACTACTGAACATAGGCCTCCCCCAAGGTATGCCACAAAGACTAAAACCTATATATCTCGTCCTATATCTTTCTGTTTGATACTGCATACTGATCAATCCTTGAACTCTGCTTTACCTAAAAGACCGCTTCGAGTTCATCTTCTCCTCTCACAACCGTCACCAACTTTCCACTGACAATCTTTCCCTACGTATTCCGGAACACACATACTCCTTCTTTAATAAATCATATTCGGTTACAGCTGTACGCATTTGAAACTCCTTGCCATTATGTATTCGACGTGCTTAGTCCCTTTTCTCCTTCAGAAATCTTCTTAAAGTTTATTACTCCGAGCTCTAATATTTCTTACCATACTTCCCTTCCTTAATTGAATCTATCATACCTATCCTCAACAATCGCCATCTTGTGTTGACACACCTTCCCTAATCGTCATTCGTTATAAGCATCGCTTCCAGAGCGATAAGACGGCCTATTGTACCTTCTATATAATTTATTTCATTTTGTTTTGGTATTAACGTGTATTGATGTACATTAAAGAATATATTGATTAATATTAGTCCTGTGGGTGTCTTAAGAGGAGTATATAGAAAATGTATGTAAAATTATGGTATCTGTTAGAGAGCGTTCAAAGAGTAGCTATCTTATATATATCAGATATGACATACTTAGTCCGTTGAAGGGAAGCAGCGTATGGTTTCTTCGAACAAAAATTTTGATAACTTATAAGACCTATCAGAAAATAAAAAGAGAAGATAAAATACGCCTTATATCTGGTTTTTATATTAAGAAAACGTTTCGTTACCCTTTTTATATAGAATATAGGTGACAAACGAGCAAACAGTTCACCTGATGGTAAGCGGATGCTGCGGCCCATAGACATCTTCTTACATACATCCTCGATTAAGAATCAAAATGCAAATGCGTTGTCACCCGTGAGGACTAAGATGAAATGCCTCGTTTCTAGTAAAAAGTGTCTCCGGTTCTCTACACTCACCATGCGAAACACAGCAGCATTAAGCTACTATTTCACGCTGGTATTCTGTGAGAGCGTGGTCCGGCCCCAGTCGAGCCGACCCATTCGTGCTACAACTATAATACAGTTGCAGCGTGGCTCTTTCACCTAACAAAGTGTGAATTTTTAACTGTGATGAGAATTTGTCTACCGTAAGTTGTAATGTATTTTTTTTAATTTAGGACTGAACTGGCACACAGCTTATAATCAAATGAAATTTAAACGTAAGTAAATTCTTCTAATTAAAACATTAGAAACCCGATATTGAACAATGAAAACAAACACTAATTGAAAAAAAAAAACGATCTTACTTCTTATTTGTATTGTGATGTATTTCGACAAGTGTTGTGTCTAATTTTTCGATTACGTTTACTATGTTCTCTTTAAAACCGAAATCAAGTGATTCAGCTGAAAAATAATTCTATATTAGTTAAAAAAAACGATACGATAATGAATACTAAAGCAACAGAATATTATACCTCTACTAGTCGTAGGAACAGGTCTTTTAAGCCAGTCGTTCACACTGGAAATACTTGGATAGCTGTCGCATATTTTCTGGGTGTCGTTGACTTCGACTTTTTGTTTTTTACTCTCTTGAGACGTCGCAGTAGATTTTCTTTTTACTGGAGTTTTCTCCGAAACTCTTGATGCGTTTATTTTCGTGGTCATACTCATATTGGAATCTTGACACGACTCTATATCATGGATTGCTGACGAACTTCTTAACCAGTATTTATTATTTTCAAGTGGATTTTCTACACATTCAATGACAGACTTAGTAGATTTACTTTTACATGCAGTTGTCTCCGAAGCCTTTGAAGGATCTATTTTCGTAGACTTACTCATCTTGGAATCTTGACTCGATTCTCTCTTATGGACTGCTGTCAAGCTCCTCAAGCAATAATTTCCAGTCTTAGGTTGGTTTTGCATATCAATGGTTGAAGAAACGTGTTTATTATCACAAAACAGATTTTTAATATGCTTAACATACTCGTTTGATTCCGACGCGACAGAATTTTGTTTTGCGATTGGTTTAATATCATCGAATAACTTTATAGGTGAAATTTGTGAATAACGGAAATATTTTTTTTCTGTCGATTCGGTAGATTTTTTCGTTTTTGCTACGGAAATGTTCCTTTTTTTTGTTCCATCAACAGTTTGATTTGAAACGCATCGTTCAAACTTCTTCTTAAGATAGTTTGAATCAAGACTGGATGCTGAATCAGAATTGGGAAGTGATGGCAGCCATTTGATAATTTCTTCTGATGGCAACCTTCCGACAGATACTAATGGAGACATTACAATTCTTGCAATGTCTCCATTAGTGTCTACCGGAAGCTCCTTAGTAACAACTTTGTCTTCGTAATTAATCGGACTGCTTTCCCTAAATTTTGAATTAGGATTTTCATCCATATTGCGAGACTCTTCAATAATTTCTCTGTTAAGCTTAACAAAGAAATCCCTTAAGGATTTATTTAAGTCATCTATTTCTAAATTTCTCGGTTGAATTTCTGTTTTTAAAAGCTCACGACTTGGAGGTAAATCGTCTTTACACAAATCAAGATTTCCATGCGCAGTTATAGGGGAAGAGCCAACAGTATCAATAGATTTTTCTAAATATATTTCTGTATTTCCTGATATATTTATTATTTCATCATTTGAATTTATTTTATTTTGTTTACTGCCGGTGCTTAATTTTTTATTTAATTCCTTTTGAAAGACACATTTATTACTTTTATCATTCTTCATACTTTTTTTGGTTTCCTTAATAAGCGACTGTTTTTCTTCTAACGGGGATGATTTGGATGTTGGAGCTAAACATTTAGATATTTGATTTAACTCCTCAGTAATATTATACATATGTGAAGAGCTATTCAGTTCATTGTCATCATCATTTTTATCTACGTCAGACAGCAAATTTTGAGTTGTATTTAAATCACATCCTATTGTATCAAGTCTTTCTTCGTATATTTTTTTAAATTTTTGTATAACATTAGTTGTGAGTGAATCATTAGCAATATCTTCACGGGGTGGTATCATTTTTTCTACGACTAATAAGGGTAGCGGACTTTCAGTTCTATCGGTCGTGTCGTTTGATAAAGTTGTTTTTTCACACTCGCTTAGTGTTTTAACTTCCTTTGAGTTATGTTTTTCTTTATTCAATGAAAGCGCCTTTCCGTTCCTCTTTTGCTTTTTCTTCACACTGTTGCTTTCAAACTTTTCTGTTATTTTTACTTTATCATCCGTTATTCCTTCCATTTTATGTTCCATCGCCAATTTGGGTGCAGGTTCCATATTAACTTTACTTTCTAAAGGTTTTTGAATTTCTAGCGATGTATTTAAAACGTCTACAGCAAGTTCTCTGACACGTTCATCAATAAGTTGGTCCGCAGACTTTTTAAATTTACTATCAGATTTCGGACGATTGTTTAGTTTTCGTTTAACATTAGCCTTTTTTTTATTTTTATCTTTAATCGACGAAACAACGTTGCCGCCAGAAGTTATATTATTGCGTTTTACTGTACTAAGTCTAAAGTCATCATCTTCGCTATCACTAGTAAAATTATAAACTGAAACATTATTTGTTTTCTCAACCAAAATTAGTTTTTCATTGCTATTGTTATCATTTTTTAGTTTATCAAACGCATCATTGATTTTCTTTGTTTTTGGTGACAGAACTAATTGTTTGGACTTCCTGTTTCTCAATTTACGTTTATATTCTATGCGCTCATTCTCTATTTCTTTATAGCACGTTATTTTAGATTTGGATTGAGTCAACTTTTCGTTAGAAACAGCTTTACTAACATTTTCGCAATCACTGTTCCAGTTTTCATTACATTTTTCGTCTTTTGGGGAATATAATTTACGTTTTCTTCGTATTAGGGGCGTATTCGTTTTATTATCTGTAAGCTCTTTAAGCTTTATATTTGTTTTGTTATTCGGGCCAAAGAAGTTTTCGTTATATTCAGTTACTGCATTTTTATCCCTGTCAATTATTGAAATTTCATTAGATTGTTCCTCTACACCTAATTTATTTTTTCGTCTTGATGGACGTGTTGCTGTCTTTGTAGCTTTGTATTTTAATTTAATACCCTTTTCTGACTTAGTGTTTTTTTCTTTAGAAGTTGAATACCCAAGATCATCTTTTTGTGAATTTGAAGCATCAGGATTGTTAAGCCTGTTTTCTTCGTAAGTTATTTCTAAATTTGGGTTTAGATTTTCAGTACACTTATCAAATTCATTACAGATTTCGTCTATCATAAAATTTAAGCACTCTACGACTTCTAAATCAGGCATTAGCTGCCGATTTGTAATCATATCCTTCTCAATGCAACAATCATCAAAACCTTCACTACCTTCAGAACTAGTGTCGTTTATTTTCTTTGCCAACGTTGGGCTTACTTGTTGGGCTAATTCACCATTACGATTTTCAGCAAAATGTTGCGAGAAAAATTCTTCAACGGTCTTTTCATCAACAGTTTTCACCGCTGATATTTCTTTGTCAGTCTTTATGTTAGTCGATTGAGCATTTTTTCTCCTGAACTTTCTTCTTTCAAAATTTATATTACTGAATTGTGTTCCTTCTACCATATCATTGTTAGATTCTTCGGCAGATGTGGAGTTACTAATAACTGTACAATTTTTAACCTTATCACCAGTAGTTGACATTTCTTTATTTTCTTTAACTTTTATAAAATCCCTTTGGGCATCTAAAGCCTTACTTTCGCTGTGGTTTATAATTTTACTCTGTAAAGCTTCTTGGACCAAAACGTCTATTAAAATATCATCATTGTAATCTTTATTTTTAGATAATCGTTCCAAAGTATCGTTTATAACAGATTCGTCCGCAGTTCCAATAGAAGCTACTAAAAGGCAACTAACAGAATTTTTCTCATCCGTCGCTGCTGGTGACAAACGTGTTTTTTGAACTTCATTGGTTTTGTCGTTTTCCCTGCCCTTTGCTTCCCCTTTTAACAAACTTTTCTGACAGATGCCATATCGACTCAGTTGTGAACTCGTGTTTAAGTTTTGATGATCATCCACTTCGCTCACTTCAGTAACGCTGGACAATTGGGGTCTAGCGCATAAACTTACGGGTTCTTTATCGTAATTGTACCGCGGCAAAGCGGCTAATTTTTCATGGAGCTGTAAAATTTTTAAAAAATACACATTTTTAGTGCAAAATACTGTGTTGTAATGTAAAAGATAGGTGGTAAGAGCAAAATCTGTTAATTAGCTTTGTAAATAATAGAAAAATGACAATTTTTTCTATGAATTTAGTGCAAATTTATTTATTTTTAATTCTCTATTGCAAGGAATGCAAAATCAAAACAATACAAAGGGCGGACTTAATATTTTGGGGCATTCTCTACCAGTCAACCCATCGAATGGTGAGAATTTGACGCAGGTGTAGAAATGATAATTAATTACGTATAACGTATTTAGTGCCGCATAAAAATGGACACTCCAATAGATGGACATAAAATCGATACAATAACGGTTTAACTTTAAGCGAGCATTGTTTTCGTAAATATTGAGAATTTGTGATGGAAAGCGCAAAATTTAGTATGTATCATTTATTATTTATTGATAATTAATATAGCTCTTATTAACATCGCTCTATTTGCTATCATTACTATCTACCTACCTTTATATGTATAAAGTATAAATAGCTTCACAAATTATGACTTTTATTATATATCATAAGAATGTAAATGTTGGGCAAAGGTTGTACAAAGAAATATGTAACATACTACAATGCTAAAATTCCTATAATTCCTTACATGTGCTAATGAAGACGTGGATGCTGTTGACGGAGATACCCACGGTCCAGGTTTTCCAGCATTAATATAACCTGAAATGTAGAAAAAGGATGATAGGGTAGTAAAGCAAACAATTTATTTTTAAATATAGTAAAAAAATTACGGTTTTAAATATGTGATGAAAAATTCAAGAAGAAATAAAACATGTAAAACAGGTTCAGGGCAAATAAATGTCCGCCGCGCTGCCCTAACGCGTCTTGGCGGACTCGTACTTTTGGTTTTTTTTTTAATTTTTCTGTCATGCGGGTTTAATAACGGTGTTTTCCTTCACCGCTGAGCACATCAAAATCACCATATCGTCAAATAACATGTATCTAGAGAATTTTTTGGAGTGAATAGAGTGACAATACCGGTATAGTGCTGGATGAATGCGTAAAACCTCACTTACCTCACCCAACACAAATACTCACTAACCTCACCCGATATAACTCTTACGTAATAATGCTTAGGGTTAAATGTAGCGCAGACTTAGGACACAGGATACAGTATGTGGGACATACTGCAGGTTAGAGAACCGGAAACCTCTTTTAACTGGTAACGTGGCATTTTATTGAAGAATTTTTCTCTTAGGCTTAAGGAGTAACAACACATCTGCATTTTGATTCTTCATCATCATCATCATAACAGCCCTTCACAAGTCCACTGCTTAACATAGGCCTCCCCCAAGGTATGCCACAAAGCACTTTCCCCTGAGCCACCTGCATCCATCGACTTCCTGCATGTCTTACCAGGTCGTCACTACATCTAGTGGGGGGTCGCCCTACACCTCGCCTACCGGTACGAGGCTGCCACTCGAGAACCTTTTTTCCACAACGCTTGTCGGTTCTTCGAGCTATATGGCCGGCCCATTGCCACTTCAGCTTACTAATCCGTTGGGCTATGTCGGTCACTCTGTTACTGCGGATATCCTCATTTCTAAGTTTATCACGCAGAGAAACTCCGAGCACAGCCCTCTCCATAGCTCGCTAAGCGACTTTGAGCGTCCTCATACGGCCAGCAGTGAAGGACCACGTCTCGGTTCCGTAGGTCATCACCACGCACTGGTTGTACCACTTAGTTTCCAGGTTTTGAGGTATACCTGACGAAAAGATGTGTCGTAATTTCCCGAACGCCGCCCAGCCGAGTTGAATCCGTCGATTGACCTCGCGGTCGAAGTTGGACTTACCTAGTCGGACTATTTGTCCCAGGTAAACGTACTCGTCAACAACTTCGAGCTTAGTGCTCCCAACAACTACCGGCATATGTGTGACATGGAAATTAAACATGATCTTTGTTTTGTCTATGTTCATCTTAAGACCTATCCGTTGGGAGGCACTATTGAGGTCATTGAGCATAGTGCTTAAGTCCTCAAGCGATTCTGCCATAAGGACTACATCGTCGTCAAACCGAAGGTCAGTGATGTACTCGCCATTGATGTTAATACCGTATCCTTTCCAGTCCAGTAGCTTGAAAACATCTTTCAATGCAGCGGTGAAGAATTACGGGGAATTAACGTCACCCTGTCTTATACCTCTCTGCAGTTGGATAGGTTTCGTACTCTGGTTCTGTACTCGGATAGCCGTCGTAGCCCTACTGTACAAACACTTTAGCACTTCGATATACCGACAGTCAACTTGGCACCACTGAAGAGACTGTAGCACCGAACAAATTTCGACGGAATCAAAGGCTTTCTCATAGTCCACATACGTCAGACAAAGTTTTGTATTTGCAGATTGTACTCTTCGGACTTCTGTACAATTTGCCGAAGGGTATGTATGTGGTCTATGGTATTAAAGCCTTTTCGGAAACCGGCTTGTTCGGGTGGCTGGAAGTCGTCGAGTCTGCTTGCGAGACGATTGATTGACGATTGACGATTTTGATTCTTAATTGAAGATATTCTACTTCCCATTGTGTAACCCACTTAGTCGATTGCAGAGTCAATGTGAGTATCCTCCAGACCGAATTTCGGTCACGGCGGCCAATCTCAACGGAGACCGGCCAACTGCGCAGGACAGGATTACAAAGCAAAAGTGTGTGCGCGAGAAGTGTGTGCACAGAAGCACTTTCTATACCCTCATTCTCATATCCCCTGGGACTACAATCCAACATAACCGGAGAGGGATTAGGCGCAGGACGAATAATACCCTCGGTATTATTGGTCCTGATAATACTTGACCTACTGGACCTGACAGGCTGTGGTAATACCGCTATTTCTCACCTTTGTATGACTTTTCGGCCATAACTACGTCGCTAGATCCTTGTTCGTATATTAGAACCGTATGTAGAGAAACTAGGCATTTTGAAAAAAAGGCTGAATGTTCCTTCTCATACGTCAAAACTTCACTGAACTAGCTGTGCCCGGCATGAGTTACAATGTCAATATATTAATGTACTAGCTTTTTACCCGCGGCTGCGCTCGCGTAGAATTGAATTTAGAATCATCGATAATACTATTTCGTACCAAAATTAGCAAAACTTGATCACTTGCAGAGACAAGTCGGTATGTGTATAATGGCAATTTATAGGCTACAGAAACACATAAGTTAGTTTATCAGAATCGCATAAATACCATACGTCAACCAACATTTTGTTTATATCGGGCACGTGTTCCGATGTGTCTATTTAAAGGAAAAATTGTCCTCGAATCGGTTAATTTAGTTTAATCGTTTAATGCGTTATTTACAATATATTCATTATTAAAGTTGATATAGTTTTAATAAAATAAGGTTTTACTTCATGGTCTTTATTAATATTGGTTCCATTGAATATTGATTACAACCACATGCCAATATTTTTTTTTGGTTCGAGTCAATGATTTCAAAAGGAAGGATACGCCCATCTAAATATTTTACACATAAAGGTCACAGCTCATTAGAGCCACCCGGCACCCGACCCTCACCGCCTCGTCGCCAGGCGTCCACTCTTAGTCGACAGGTGGACCACGGTGGATGCCACGTGGTCATCGAGTGGACCTCGCGTCGTCAACGAGTGGACGTCGCGTGATCAACGAGTGACCCTTAAATCATACTTCCGAACTTCTTCTATAAGTTATTCTTACGCACTCTTTTTCTTCACTCGCAGTCCGCGCGTGGCAACCTCGCGAGCGAGGCGATCCGGTGATGGTACGGAGTTGATGTAGTGAGCAAATCCATACAAAGAATACGAACCGCTCGAGGCGAGGCGGTGAGGGTCGGGTGCCGGGTGGCTCTAATGAGCTGTGGACCTTAACTTCTTAATACAAGAATATGTAGCGCATGTGTCATAACTCATAAATCATAATTCCAACGTCATAACGCGCCGTATCCAGGGTCGGATTTCGTAGTATAATTATCCTATTTGTACCACTATTTTATAGTGAGTAGTATGTAGTATCGTAATAATATAAAGCTAAAATACCACAAATTTACCTGAAAGTAAAATTATTATTGGATTGAATATATTATTATTGGATTGAAATCTACGATATCGAGAATTTCTGTATTGTACTTGAGTACCGTGTTTTTTTAAATAAAATTAGCATTAAGCACCCTTTCTGTTCAATCGGTACACGATCGATGCATAAATTATGTTGCATCCTTGATACAACTATAATGTGGGTGTTCCTGATCATACCACGATTAATCTATGCTCCAGAAGCAATAGGTTTCAAAACGGAATTTAAAAATATTTTAAGAATCAGATTTTCATTTTCCATTAAGTAGGTATCGTTTCTTTTCTACTCTTTTCTTTTTACCCTTAAGGTATGTAAGGTACCAATATTCAAAATTTAACTTACACTAAGTTCTTTAGAAAATAGATAAAACAGTAATAAAAATAAAACCGTCAAAAAACGAAACTTATAGATAAACTAGACGCGTGACACTAAAATCACGGCAAGTGGGAAAAAAGAAACATGAAACGTCAAACGTGATTTAATTTTGGACTAATAGTATAATTTTATTTTCCATGTACAATATTTTTGAGTGTCTGAATTCAACCCTGGCCTAATCTGGGTAACGTTAGTTACGTAACTGTAAAATAAAACTTTAAAAATGTGTTTATAAAATAATTTAATTGTAACAAAATTAATATAAGGTTATTTACCGATGGTTCGAAATCCCATGTTCCTTTTTAATCTTTGTATCGTAATTTTTGCACCCACTTACCACGCAACTAGGCATGTTTATGACAGGCAAATCCGTCCTGCGCGCGTACCACTGTCGACCGAGTCGCGTTGGCCCTAAACTGTAATTTTAGGGCCAGGGCACTGTTCCGATTTTATTTGCGCGGTCGGCCTGGTTCTTACACTAGTAATATATAAGTCAATGGTACGAGTAGACTTCAAAATATCATAAACGAAGAACT